ATATATATCGTCCCCTCAGTATTATCTTGTTCTAACTACAAATTTTGATTTTTTCGAAAAACTCGACCCTATGATGTAGAAAAGCACTATGTTCAATCTCCACTTGTCTACGTGACTCTAAGTCATCTGCTTCCTACCAAACTTTTCAATTTGACATTGTTCTAACTACAAGTTGATACATTTGGCCAGTATAATCTTGTTCTATGTCAGTTTTATAATATGATTCTGTTCTAACAGTATATAATCTATATAAAATTAACGCATAAATTTTCCTTGGATACGCTAGAATTATAATGTTCTATGTCCGATTCTGCCAATGAAATCAGCTGTTTAAGTCATGTGACTTGTGCGTCGTCGATCAAAATGGCGGCGTGTGAACACCTTTTAATCGATTTTGGTTGTCATGCAAATAAACTGACTGAATTACCAGATCCTGAATCGTAAGTATATTTATCTTTTATATGTTGTCTTAACTGTGTTATTTTACACATATTTAGTTCAAAGTTTGTTGAAATATCTTAATTAATAATAGGCCTAATATTGTTAATGTACACCGTAGTATACGCCTATACTAATTGTATTGTTTAGTAGTATAGTAGTTTAATAGTATCTGTAGGGTTTACTTTGTATAAAGTGGGCTCCCTAATTTCAGCAGAAAAGAAAAAAGATTTGAAAAAAATGATGCCCTACATGCCAGAGATTGACAGAAAATTTATGGCTACTCTTTGTGGCTAGTTATCATCTATTTCTAAATTACAAAGCCTTTAACAGTACGTTTTTAAAGCACTGTCGGCGAGTGTTATTTTTGCTTAAACTGTTTTGATTATAAAAACAAAGTTTATGTATTTTCTCAATATTCATTATTACAAGTTCTTGTTATATTTTTTTTTTAAACGGCTCATGGTGTATAATTAAAACATTAAAATCTATTGAACCTATCTATTGACTTGTGAATTCATTTTATTAATACATTAAATCAAAATTCTGTATGCAAAAGCATACTTACAACTTAAAATATTACTTGTTCTGTAATGTAGTGCAAAAAATATTTTTTGCACGTTGCGGTAATCAAAAATATGAAAGTAAAGACCGGGAACAATAGGATAGAAAACCAGAAGACATTGCTAATACAAAAAGTAGATGATACTTCTAGAAAAGCTATTATAACTGCCTAAAAAACACAAAATTTGACTTAGAACATTGTACAATTTTTGAAACCTGATCACTTTCATCGTATTTTGTTCTATCTCAAAAGTGAAAAATAATTATTATGGTCCTCTAATGGTACATAAAGTAATAAAAATAACTTGGATGCTCATTGCTTAATGCCCTTTAACATTTTATCTAAAAAAAAAATGAATTGGAACAGTTTAAATATAAGAATCAGACCACATGAAACTTCAGATGCGTTTTTCTCAAAACTACATTTTGAGAGATAGAACAAGATAATACTGGGGGGACGATATATAGGCCTATATATATAAATAAATATCAATAAATAAATCACATCTAATCACACACAGATACACATATACCCATGCATTTGCCCACATTTGCACAAATAACTACACATTACACACAAATACACACATTTAAACACACGTGCACACATTAGACACACACAAACTTCTACACATAACTACACAATACACAAAAATGCACACATTTGCAAACATTCACTCAAATACACACATGTACACACATAACCACACACAGGCACTTTACATACAACCATATACGCACATTAACAGACAGAAATGTCACACGAAAACCTTATGCACCAATACACACATTAGCACACAATCACACACCACACACATAAAATAACACTCTGATATTTCCCCTATACAAACACACGCATAAATCTACACTAGCCACCCACGAACCTGTACACCAAGAAATCCCCCCCCCCCTCCTCCCCGTCTCCACTCCCCCGCCCTACTACCTTCAGGTCGACGAAGTGTTTGAGAAGATTAAAATCAAACAGACGACACTTTTCGAACTGAAAGAAATCTTCGTCGACAGTTGGCGCTTATGATCATATCGCGTGCTACTTTAATGCTAATGACACGTGAAATATTAGCGACACGCCAACGATGAATTACATTCAAGGCCGACGAAGTTGTTCCACCCGTAACATTTTGAAGCTTTAACCATAAAACGAGGCGTAGCTTTAAAAACAAGGATTTAAATTCCCCTAAACGGTTGAAGATTCAGTCTGAAAAAAAAAAACCCACTGAAGATCAACGACAACCGGGGTTACAAGAGGTAGTTAAATATTCAAATTATCCCCACCCTCTGCTTCGTGGGTCCGAGTCTTTTATTCTGCTTACCTTACTTACATATATGTAGCCATCTTAGAATTTAAAAAAAATCACATACGTTCTATCAAAACGCCTGATGGTTGCTTGAACGAAGACAGTAGAGCTAATGCAATTCTCTTACCTCGGCATATGAAGGGATGGTGTGGTTAGCACTATGCTGAGTCCTTTGCACTTCCCCCAACGCTAGTCAGGTACCAATTTTTCCTGAGTGGATTAAATAACCCGAGGTGGTCGAAATTTTGCTTGTAGTTTCTGTTAAACTCGGACGATTGTTAAATCAAGTTAAATAATTTCTTATGGTTTGATGAGAAATTTGAAATAGCGTAAAGTACTACTTCCGGTCATCGGAAGCCACTCAAGATTTGGAAAAAAAAATTAAATTACATCTTAATTTTTAAACCTGTTTATGACAATTTCGTCGAATTCGACTTCAGTGTAATATTTTGTTGTACCTTAGACGGTTAGATTATGTACCTTATAATTTGCTTTTAAACTTAAGGGAAATAACTCATATTTTTCAAAAGTTTTAAAAAATGCCAGTTAACTCCCATTTAAAAAAATTACACCCGTAAATGTGGAGCCGTGTGGTTATATTGTAGAGCATACGACTACTAACCCGAAAGACTCGAGTTCGAATATATGAGTCCACCCTGGTTTCGTCTGTCTGTGAAGGCTTAATAAATTGATGGCACCTTAAAGCAACCGAATGTAGAGTGTGAAATCCAACTGGAAATCTAAATTTCAACATTCGACTTTTGCATCAATTCACACACAAACACGAATAATGTGAATGTAAATATATAATTTTCTTGCATCATTTAACGTCTTTTAGAAAATAAATAAATTGGGTTGACACCTTAGCCTGTTACTATAGATTGCCATAATCAGAAGCAATTAGATTTCCATGAACTTTTTCTTTTTCTTTGCTTAGGTATGTGTGTCTTTTAAAGTCATTTTGATGTTCTTTTTTTTAAGAGAGTTATGGGTTATTTATTAGTTATTATTTATTTAACTATTTGTAATTCGGTAAATTTTTTAATTAATCCACTACACTTTTACCCCCAGACTAAGAACGGATAGTTAAACATTTGTGTAAAGGTGTCTCTAGGGAAAGTCTTGGTAATCTATCTTTGAAATTTTTGCTGAAAATTTAGTGACTATTTGGAAGAAAGATAACCCCTGTTATAAGAAATCACTCCGGGCTAATGTATAACAAACATCTTGGGTTGTTTGAATAGGGCTTGTAAGTAGGTCACAACTTCTCGTTCTCGTACTTGCCAGCTGGTAGATTTCGAGACCGTAGACTTACTAGCCCTATTGTGAAGAGTTCATGCAAGTTTAAACGTTTCTTGTGTGTCAAAATGGTACCCTACCATGATTTGATCATATGTTTACCATAGTTTCACATAGTTTTACCATAACTTTACCATTGGTTCACCATAGCGCTAGAATTACATTCACATCAGTACTACAGATAGCACTGATCACTCATTTGAACGTCACATCACCAGTCAAGACACACAACTCAGTCCTGCATTCCCTTGATACACAGTCATGCAACAACAACAAAGCCGTCATAGATTAGTTGTAAAAAATAATCATTTATTATCAAAGTAATTAATTGCTTTAAAAAAAGTTAATAATTAAAACATATTACAAAATCGAGTATTGAAGTACAAGTAATGTAGTCTTTCCTGTAATTATAATATTAATTGGTATTGTTCTTCTGCGATAAGACATGAGTGCCTGGTGATGAAATCGAGTGTAGTTGCATTAAAATTGTCAGTAATATCAATATAATATCAGCTACATCATACACATTATCCTCAAGTTGAAGACCAGTATAACGAATTCTATGTACATAATTCACAATTGAGCGTTTTTCTTCGACTCTAACTTTAGCAACTATCAACAAATGTACGAATATCAAATAAAAATGTTCACAACAATGAGAGCGTATGTTTTTCATCTTTTCAAGGGTTAGAACTTTCCTTCATCCTTCATGTACGTCACCGGTCAGGGGGTGGGGCATCAATTGCCTTATAGCTGGGACATCAATCGCCCAATAGGTGGGACATCAATTTCCCAATAGCTGGGACATCAATCGCCCAATAGGTAGGAGATCAATTTCCCAATAGCTGGGACATCAATCGCCCAATAGGTGGGTCATCAATTTCCCAATAGCTGGGACTTTATTTGCCCAATAGCTGGGACATCAATTTCACAATAGCTGGGACTTCATTAGCTCAATAGCTGGGACATCATTCGCCTAGTTGTTGGGACATTAATTGCCCAGGAGGAGGGACCTCACCGGTCAGGGGGTGGGGCATTAATTGCCTTATAGCTGGGACATCATTTGCCTAGTTGTTGGGACATTAATTGCCCAGGAGGAGGGACCTCACCGGTCAGGAGGTGTCTTCTATTGGCTAACTTGTTTGGTTATCGGTTTAATTGCCGAGTAATCGACCACTTCTGAACTTTGGATCTCATCAGGCTTTTCTTCCTCTCACTTTCTTGAGTGTCTGGGGCTTGGCCTTAGTAAAAGGGGAGGCAAGCAAAAATAGGGTTCACGTCTCGCTTGATACTCGCCCAGGCCTTGAACGTCGAAATCCAGTGTTTGGCATTTGTTACTTGGTGCAGCACTGTCTAAATTGTGATCATCGGAATTACATTTATCTAGTGGCGGCAAAATTTCATCAAAAGACAAACTGAGTCGAGGGGTGCGTAAAAACAATGGCGAAATCTGTGCCTCATTCTCTTCTTCAGTAACCATTAGCAATAACTTAGGTTCTTTGTAGTCAATTTGATTGAATAGAATACTCTTGAGTATAAAACTGTACTCGGTGGAGCATGATCCATAAACAACAATCACAACAGGAAAAGTCACAGCCGATTCAGCTAGATCTAATATATGGCACCCAGGAGGATTGACATCTTTTGTCGTTTTTGCCACGATACCAAATCTTTTAACCAACATCTCTGTTAGAGCTGTTGTCGTTCTACTAGACCAGCTGTCATGGCGCTCTTGACAATCTTCGTCCAGTGTTTCTATTATAAGTACCTCTGGGCTTTGTGAGTTGTTGTTGATCCTTGTTCTTGGTAGTCCGTTATCTTCAGTCTCAGAGAGAGTAAAATATGTTCCTGGAAAAGCCTGTTGAAGTAATGTGTTCATGTCTTCATACAAGCTATAATGCTGCCCGTTCATTTCTTGACGACATACCTTAGATTCCTTTTCTTTGTGAAAGGAATCTGCTTCTGTTTCGTTCAAATCCGAATTGCCGATGTCGTTATTTTTGTCGCGTTCTTTTGAATATTTCCTCTTTCGAATTTTAGAGAAACTGCTCTCATTTTGAAAGAACGTATCAAATTTCCAGATGCCTTGCTCATTATTTTCAAACATTTGCTTCATTTCTTTCAAATGTTTGATAACATCGTTTGAACTGGGCCTTACATTAGCAACTGTAGCTAACATTCCCTTGATTTTACAAACGGTTTTCAAGCGCATTTTTTCACCTTTCTGTAAACAACAAGTTGCCTTTTCTTGGGAGTCCGCCTCCGTACATTCGAGAGCACTGATGATCTCATACAACAAGCCTGCCGACACCGTGCACAGGAATTCAGTAGTGCTGGAGTGTTTATCTGATTTTCTGATGATCTCCTGACAATTAAATTTAGCTTTATCGTACTCTTGCTTTCTAGCACGGAGGTAGGCCAAATCTAAGATGGCTTCCGTGTTGGATCCAAAACTATTTTCTAAAGAAAGAGTTAGATATTCCTCGGCATCCTCTACGTACGTATTGCCTGTGCTAAAAGGCTGAAGGATTTCTTGGGGATATTGCAACATGTAAATAATTTTCTCCACTAAACCTTTTTCCGAGTACTTTTTTGTTTCTTCATTTTGAAATCCCAATTCTACTTCACGTTCTATTGCTTTGTATGAATAAGCCAGACTTAAGTGATGGTATGCTCGACTTGAATGTCCAATTCTGATTGCTTTTCTCAGATATTGAATGGCTTCTTCCCTTGTTTCAGGAAAACGGTTTAATATCTCGCCAGCTAATTTTAAAACCCTTTCTGAAGAGTCAGAAACAGCAAGAGCCTTATGACACAACTCAGCGCATTCTTTATTTTTATCGATTCGCTTGCTTATGTATTCTTGATATTCATCCTGAACATATAACTCAGCCAGCTCCACAAAAGATGCTGCCTTGATGCTATCGTTAAGACTTGCTTCTCCTAGATCTTGGAATATTTTTTCACAATCCTTAGAAAAATTTTCCCGGTCAATCTTCTCGGGGATTTGCGTGTAGACATTTATGTGACAACATCGCCTTTTTGTTAATGCCAACATGAAGAAGATTTTATCGTCGTTGACACCATCATTGACCACCTCAGTTAAAAGATCAATACATAGTAAAAGGTTCTTCGCACCCCCAAACTTACGAAAAGAATAAGCTAGTTCAACCATAAAGCTGATTTTCATAGCATTAAACTTCCCTTCCTTTTTTAAACTCGATAACTTATTTTTAATTTCTATTTCCCCGTTATTTTCATTTAATATTTCTAAATAGTATAGGTTAACTAAGGCCATTAAATTATCCGGATTACCTTTTAAAATACTTGTATTGAGCTTACTTGCCCGTTCTAGCTTTCTTCGTTTAAACAAAACAACGGTCAAGACGTTTTCTTTCCACACCTCTTCTTCAAACTCTTCGTCGTCTTTATCATTTTTTAATTCTGACTCTAGTAGCTTTAAACGAAGTTTAGGGATATCAACTTTATAAGGGTTTTCCACACATAACCTATTTGGTTTACACAAAGTTGAAGTATCGAATATAAAATTCCACATAAAATCTTCAGGAAGAGTTTCCATAATTAGAACATATGAAATTAACCTGTGGGGAAAAAAGAAATATGTATTTAAATTAAACTTAATAATTTCTATTGCTTAGAAGAAATATACAATATATTTGCGTTCTAAAAAAACCTTATAATTATAAGATTGCAACAGCTTTAGATATCCTACTAAAATATTATATTGTCAGTATTACTGTTTTCTTGTTTTGTTTTGTGGTTTGGTTTATACCACAGTTATTAGGTTAGGGTCACACTCATAGGGGGGAGGGGTTCCGAAAATTGCGATGAGGGGGAAATGGTGTGTGTGTATGGGGGGTGGGGGGTGTTCAGATAGTGTGACGTCACACTTTTTCATTATAAAAAAGTAATGTTAGAAAACTAATTTTAGCCGTCATTGTTGTCGTTTTAGAAAACGTGTTTGTATGAATTGTAATATAAATTTATTAAAATACTACAAGTTGACTGAGTTAGTCAAGATTTTTAGAAATAAAATCCATGAGGTGGGGGGGGGGGGGGGATTTTTGTGTCAAACTGTGACGGTGGGGAAAAAGGGAAAAAAAGAGGGGGGGGGGGCGGCAAAACCGTTAAAAAGTGTGACGTCATTCATAGATGGCCCCTTTAGACGAAATAAGAATTTGTTTATTAAATAGCCGCCATAATGAATGTTACTACGCCGTTCGCTATTTTTTTCACAAAAGTCAGGCTATGCAAGCTAGTAACTGTATCACTTTAAGTGTTATAAGCTGAAACCCCTAAAATATAGCGCTTGCTCTTGTTGTGAAATGGACATAGTGTTCGGAACTTGGGACCAGGTGATTTGGTATTTACATTTTAACACCTTAAAAGTAGTCCACAAAAACCTTGAAAACAAAACGTCTATGAAGTATACACTGAGTAGTCCTCAAGAACTTTGAAAACAACTAGTTTTTGAAGTATACACTAAGTAGTCCAAAAAAAAAACACATGAAAACAAAGAGTTTTTCGAGTATATACAAAATAGTTCCCAAGAACCTTGAACAATGTTTATGAAGTATACACAAAATAGTCCACAAAAAGAAACCTTGAAAACAAACCGTTTTTTAAGTAGGCCTATACACAAAGTATTCCATAAAAAACATTGAAAACAAACCTTTTATAAAGTATACACAAAATAGTTCATACAAAAAAAACCCCTTGAAAACAAAACGTTTTTTAAATACACAATGTAGTCCAGAGACTCAATCTTACTTCAACCTATCCCCATCAATTGTATTGATTTTATCGAGACGTCTGATTTCGCCATTACGTCTAGTCTGCCTACAGTATAGACTAGACTTACATCTTTTAGGACTTATAACTATCTATGTAAATACATATAAACGCTGTATAATAACTACATAATATTACACTACAAACAATCTCTATATTTACTCAAATGAATACGAAATATGTCGCGAATAACTGGAATATAAAACAACAAACTTACTCCACATCTGTAAGTGATCTCAGGCATCCAGCCCAACGCCTAGCAACAACGGCCTTGGATACAGCATGAAAACAAATGACGTAAACTGTTTTAGGTTTAAAAATAGCACATCGGGGATTTCCGTTTTTTTATGTAACTACAAAAAAAGAATAACTTGTTCAGTAAAAGCTTATTAAAAACTTTGTGTTTAATGTTTAATATACATCAGCTAAATGCATATACATTTAAGTTTTAAAATATTGATGTTCAAAGATTATCTATAAATAACAATGACGTTGTAAACGTTTTGTTTTCAAAATAGACATCGGGAAAGCTAGCTATTTTTATTTGAAATCTCACAAAATAGAAAAACCATGTAGACGGATCTGTTTTAAAAATGTTTAAAATGTTCTTCACTTTTCCGACGTTCCTATCGACTTGTTTATAAAACGTCTGGTTTACATTGAATTAGTACAGTTTTAGGAAACTTAGACACATTTCTGAAAATGCACCATTGGTAAAGCATTGATGAAATCCTCTTAATAAGTTGCGTCAACATTTCTTCTGAGATCGCAGCGACGCGCGATGTTGACCCCGGTGATTACTAAAAATGAACAAAACAAAACAAAAACAAACCCTAAACTGTTAGATGTTTCACTTTATATTACAAGTAATAATCACAATACATGTTTAATGGCTAGATGACATCTTTGTGATGGCTAGATGACATTTTATGTTGGCTAAACGGCATCTTTGTGATGGGTAGAAGACACATCTTCGAGATGACTAGATGACATCTTTGAGATAGATTGATGACACATATTTGAGATGGCTAGATGACAGCCTGTTTACTCAATTATTAATTGGAATATTTACCAGGTTGCAATTAGCTTGTCCTATCAACGTTGTATCCTAACTACTCTGACCTATCTACATTGTCCTACCTACCTTGCCCTACCAACTAGGTGTCCTAACTGCTTTAACACACCCCCCCCCCCCACGACCTTACCCCCGCCCCCACCAATTAAAACGGTCACCAAAATCCTAGGTACAATAATAAATTTTGACAAATACATCCCTTTTGTGTAGTTATAAAAAAAAAAACATTTTTTTGTGTGGCTCCCACTTCAGACAGAAATATAGAAAAAAAAACTTTTCATAAAGCCCTAGTGAAGATTATGTCATACGTTTTATAAAGTGGAACGTTATCGGTTAGTTGTTTTTTTTTTATATCTGTGTGTGTTCTCCACCCGTCCACATTGTTTCACTAGTTAGCATACCTTTATGGGCCGGGGATCACAACTTTAGGATATAGGGACACATGGACATACTAGCATTAGGACATCTATATATAAGAATACTTGGACATTAATACTAATGGCAGGGGCGTGGTGAGGGGGGGGGCGGGGGTGCGGACCGCACCGGGTGACACCATTTAGGGGGGTGACACCAAGGCAGAAAATAGAAAAATATATATAGAAAAATTTGAGGGGGGGGGGGTTGCAAATCGAAAGTTTGATGGTGGTGGGGGGGGGGGGGGGTGCAAATCGAAAATTGAAAGTTTGTACCCGGGAAGAGTCGCTACGCCTCTGGGGGGGGGGGGGGGGTGACACCATTAAGTGCCGCACCGGGTGACACCCGACCTCGCTACGCCACTGACTAATGGTAATATAGAAATTTGGACAGTAGAAAAAAAAAACCATGAATATTCAGGCATTTGGACTTCTACGTGTTAATCATATGGAGATTATGACAATTAGACCTTTAGATCAATAGGCATTTAGACTATTAGACTTTTAGGCATATAAAGTAGAAATATAGACATTTAGACATATAAGCATAAATCCATATAGACATGTAGGCATATAGACATATACACATATACACATATACACATATACGCACATATACACATGTACACATATACAAACATACGAATATAAGCCTATACACATATAGGCATTTAGACATATACAGTATACACCTATACACATATTTACATATAGACCTATAGACAGAAACATTCGGACCGCTAAACACGAGCAGTTAAAGTTAAAACTTAGTAAACCAAATACCCGCTTCATTATCAAAACAAACTATTCAAGTCTGTCTACAGAACCATTCGCCTAAACAACATCACAACGTCCCAAATTTGATCCTAACCCTATCTCCGCACTAGTTTGATCCCTAACCCTAATCCTAGTTGTTAAAAAAATAATCAAGTGCCAACAGCTTAGTGACTACCTGCCAGAGCCCCACTAGATAAGTTAAGGGATTAGTCTAATCCGATCAAACGCCGCAAATTATTTCATTATCAGATGACGCCGATGTTCACAGACTACTCGATTACTCGCCCCCCCCCACCCCCAGTCACACACCCACACACCCACGCTCATCTCCATCTGTTAGTCATCAGTTAATTAAAGTTAAATCAGAGCTTGAAAATTGGATGCTCTATTTTTAAACAGCTGATTGATAAAAAAATATCTCAGTCAAAATATCTCACTTAAAAATGCTCTCAGGACAAATGATCTCAGGACAAATGGTCTTCCACAAATGATCTCAGGACAAATGATCTGTGAACAAATGATCTCAGGACAAATGATATCATGCACACATGACCTCAGGACAAATGATCTCAGGACAAATGATCTGTGAACAAATGATCTCAGGACAAATGATATCATGCACACATGACCTCAGGACAAATGATCTCAGGACAAATGATCTGTGGCCAAATGATCTCAGGACAAATGATCTCAGGACAAATGATCTCACGGACAAATGATATCAGGACAAATGATCTCAGTACAAATGATCTGTGGACAAATGATTTCAGGACAAATTATCTCAGGACAAATGATATCAGGACAAATGATCTCAGTACAAATGATCTGTGGACAAATGATTTCAGGACAAATGATCTCAGGACAAATGATCTCAGGACAAATGATCTCAGGACAAATGATCTCAGGACAAATGATATCAGGACAAATGATCTCAGTACAAATGATCTGTGGACAAATGATCTCAGTACAAATGATCTGTGGACAAATGATATCATTGTCACATGATCTCTGTCCTGGGCAAGTGTTTCCAATTGTCTGCAGGTGTTGCTCTGTGTCCTAATTCTACCAAGAACGGTCGTCCAAAAAACTTCCTAGACATAGCCTTTGTTGCTGTGTCCTAATTCTAACAAGAACGGTCGTCCAAAAAACTTCCTAGACATAGCCTTTGTTGCTGTGTCCTAATTCTAACAAGAACGGTCGTCCAAAAAACTTCCTAGACATAGCCTTTGTTGCTGTGTCCTAATTCTAACAAGAACGGTCGTCCAAAACACTTCCTAGACATAGCCTTTGTTGCTCCGTGTTCTTATTCTACCAAGAACGGTCGTACAAAATACTTCCGTTGTCACTCCTCCTATCCCACTAGCTGGGAAGGGTAAAGCCTGAGTGGGGCCGAGGCTGATAACCCAGTGAACCCATGGCACAAGTTAGTACAGTGAAGGGAGGTTGCTGGGCAGGATTGCAATTTTATCAAAAAGTAAATGAGTCTGTGCCGGGTGGGCGGTCCGGTTGTGTCACATAGAACATTATTCTCACATCACAGGCACTATTCTTACAACACAGGCTCTATTCTCACATCACATGCACTATTCTCACATCACAGGCTCTATTCTCACATCAAAGGCACTATTCTCACATCACAGGCTCTATTCTCACATCACATGCATTATTCTCACATCACAGGCTCTATTCTCACATCACATGCATTATTCTCACATCAAAGGCACTATTCTCACATCAAAGGCACTATTCTCACATCACAGGCACAATTCTCACATCACAGGCACTATTCTCACAACAAACATGCATGACACAGTGAATAATAATGTTACAGTGACAAGAAACTACTGGGAGACGGCGTGGTTGGATGATAGAGCTCACGATTGCTAACCCGAAAGTCTCGAGTTCAAATCCCATGGTTCGAGTCTGTAGGACGTCCTTGAGTACACCCATCCCTATTTTGTGTACCTGTCTCACGTTTAGGAAACTAAAGCGGCTGGACGTAGTGCTGAACTTACTTGTCCGCTTGTATGCCGTTGTCGTTGAAATAGATGAACTCTACTTCATCTGCTCCATATCTCTTAGGAACGAACGTAAAAAGGTGATGATGACAAAAAAAACAACACAGTTCCTAATACTGACCCGCTAGAAACTGTACTGTAATGATACCGCTAGAAATGCATAGTACATGAAATCGTACCGATGGAAAATAATCTGACCGCTTTTTGTAATGGAAAATAGGTTTAATTATTATTTTTTTTTTAAATTCCTAAACATCAATAGGTACTATATGTTTGACTCCATAATAGCTAATTTAAAAATTATTGCAGCAAAATGCAGCCCCCCCCCCCCCCCCCCCCATACTCCACCGTATCTAGTGATGCTACTTTTAAACTTTTGATAAGAGCTCTTTACTCAATGGTACTTGTTTTATCGCTGTACAGCAGATAAATGAAATGTTAGTACGTCTGGGTTATGGTTGAACATTCGTAACTGTCTAGCGGGCCCCAGTCCACTTGACGCATTGTTTTCTTGAGACTAGACGCGTCTCCTCTTCAAACTAATGATTGTGAATTGTCGAATTAAAAAGTTTTCTCATAGAATAATCATAAAAATTCGTTGACAAAAATGTTAAGCCTGTTTTTTTTTTAAATATTAATTTATTTACACCTCCATTCTTTTTGCTTACAGACATAAGCTTGGTCAAACTCAGAAACACTTTTCACTTTTGTGTTTTAAATAGCAGATATGATATATTTACTAGAACGTACTTTAAAGCTGTATATTACAATAATTCCAGAACTTTGATAGATCTATATTTTATCCAATACCACCAATATTTAAAAAAACCTCATTAACCCCCACCAGTGTCAGCACGCCTCCATTACTTACATCACAGACTGACGAATCATGCTACCCCCTCCATGGTGACCGGAAAGATGTGCAACGGAAAAATGCGCAACGGAAAAATGCGCACAAAAAAG